TAAGTCACAGGGAGTGGATGCATCTGCGCCACTGAGAACGATTTTGAGCCATGTCACCAATTGTTTCCAACCATAGATTTTTGCCGTCCCGAGGACCCCAGCCTGGAAGTCTACACCTTCCTACGTGGCTTAGACCAACTGTTGTGGATTTCATTGACTGATGCCAAGTTTTTGTTTGACCGCCGCTAGCTTTTTTCCAGCCTGACCCTATATCCGCTAACATAGCTCGTCGAGGGAGGCGATGACTTGGCATACGTAACACATGTCCTAACCATCTCAGTCGATGTAGCTTCACGACTTCGTCGATTGATTTCCCCTGTTTACCTAGAACTCTACGCCTAACCTCCATGTTGCTCACCTTATTATGCCACTTTACACGGGAAATAGAACGCAGGCACCTATGATCAAAGGTAGCTAGTCTTTTCATGTCTTCCACTCTCAGTGGCCAGGTCTCACAACCATAAAGGAGGACGGAGCGGACTGATGAGCAGTACACCCGCCCTTTGGTCGATAGTCGAACATCTCGTCTACGCCAGAGTCGGCGTAAACTAACAAATGCGAAACGAGTCGCTATGTAAGACGCGATGATGTGCGGTCAAAGAAAGCCAACCTTTTCGTATCTCCCACTTCAAGTGGCCATGTTTCAGTCTTCGACAAGTACACAGCGAACTGCTAGTTATGACCGCGAATAGTCAAAGCAAAGGATACGATAGTCACGAACGCACTAGAAACAGGAAGCAGCTTTAGAGAAACAAAAAGAAGTTCTGTGATGCATAGTGAAATTATCTAACATGATGTGCACATCTAATTCTTGTGTAAAAAAACAAGAAGTTATTAGTGTAGTTGTATTCATTAATATCAATGAAAACAAGCGGAGAAGAGGGTGAAATAATCTGCGGAAATAACTAATCACACTCAGAGTTGCCACAAAAGACAGCTAATAAACTCAGTGAATCCTAAAAACTCACTTCATATCTAAGTCTGTGCTGATGATCTTATCTAAAAAGACAATCAAAGCTTCGCAATTAAACCATATCCAGCTGAGAAAACACCCAACTACACAGATATTCAAGTCTTGGTTTTTAGGAATCTGACTGGTTTTAAGTTTGGTAAAAAGGAAGACACAGTTGTCCAGTAGTCTTTGGTTTCCAACAGTTCTCCAACTGGTATTAATACGTGAGCAAACCTGAAACTAATCAAATCCCTACAGACTAACACTTGAAAATTAATCTGATGCTCACTAGTGATTAGCTGGCGGAAGAGATTGTATAGAGTTCTGGTGAGAATTCATTACCTGTGGGGTCTACCAGGTGGGATATGAGAACAAACACTTGCGGTGGCTGAATGGTCAACAAGCTCACCTTGTGACCGGAACTGTCTGTCTGTCTGGATTCAACATAGAACTTGGCACCGAAGTGCAGCAGTTCGAGTTGCCACGTTCCAAATAGCACACAGAGGTAGACAAGAAGATGAGTGGAGAGAATTAATAGAGTTTGACAAATATAGGAGTGAAACAGAATGGGTAATGGTAGAAAGGAATATGAAAGATTACAGAGATTGAATACATCTGCGCCATTGACAACGATTTTGAGCCATGTCACCTATTGTCTCCAGCCATTGATTCCTAGAGTCCCGAGGGCCCCAACCCGGGAGTCTGCATCTCCCTACCTGACTCAGTTTAACTGTCAAGGATTTCATGGATTGATGCCATGTTTTTGTTTGGCCACCACTGGCTCTTTTCCAACCTGAACCTATATCAGCTAACAATGCCCGTCGGGGGAGGCGGTGGTTAGGCATGCGCAGCACGTGACCTAGCCATCTTAGTCTATGTAACTTTATAACCTCGTCGATTGATTTTCCCTCTTTGCCCAACACTCTACGCCTAACGTCAACATTACTTATCTTGTGAAACCACCTAACGTGAGACAGAGATCGCAGACATCTATGATCGAAAGCAGTCAACCTTTTCATGTCTTCAACGCGTATTGGCCATGTTTCAGAGCCATAGAGAAGGACGGAGCGAACTGATGAGCAGTACACACGTCCCTTGGTTGATAACCGGATGTCACGCCTACGCCAGAGATGGTGTAAGTCAGCGAAAGCAGCTCGAGCTTTTCGGATCCGTGCTGAGATTTCATCGCCAATCAGTCCGTTGGTGCTAATACAACTTCCCAAGTAGGTGAAGTGGTCAACATGTTCTATCACTTCACTCCCTATCACTAAGTTAGGGGTTGACGTCGTCCAGTCCTGTAGCAGCATCTTACATTTTGCAGGGGCGAATCGCATGCCAAACATACGAAGATTGCTGCTCAAGGTGTTCAGAAGACTCTGCATTTTGTCAGCATCCTCCCCTAACAGGACTATGTCATCTGCATATTCTAAGTCCATTAGATTATTCCCTGGTAACAAGTCGATTCCTAAGTCACTACGTTCAGTTAAGGATACTTCCATTAGCATATCTATGATGAAGTTAAACAGAAATGGGGAAAGTGGACATCCCTGTCGGACACCACTGGTTGTTACTAATTCAGATGACAATTCCCCATAAGCCCTTACACGACTACGTGAGTTTGAATAGAGTGCCTTGATTAGTGCAATGTACTTTCTTGGCACTCCCTTCACAGTCAGACATTGCCATAGTACTTTTCGGTCCACGGAGTCGAAGGCCGCCTTCAAGTCAAGAAATATGACAATTGTTGGACGCCGAAAAGTGTGTCTATGTTCTAGAATCTGTCGAAGAGTGAAGATATGATCTATGCACCCTCTACCTGGTCTAAAGCCTGCTTGATTTTCCCTTGTCTGTTCCTCCCGAGTTCTGCTTAGTCTATGCATGATTACTGAGCCTAGGATTTTAGAGACTATGTTCGTTAGGCTGATCCCCCTATGATTATCACACGAGGACTTGTTTCCCTTCTTGAATATCGGTATAATGAGTGACTTACCCCAGTCTGATGGTACTGTCTCTGATTCCCAGACTTTGCCTAGTACCTCAGTTAATCTACAAACTAGTATGTCACCCCCATATTTAAACACCTCCGGAATAATTCCGTCGGGTCCTGCCGCTTTGCCTCGTTTCAAATTACTGATAGCTTTTGTAACCTCACCTACAGACGGCGGACCAGTGTCTATATCCCATTCGGGTACGTGGTGGATGGCGGGGAGGTTCAGTGTGGCTGTAGGCAAGTTAAATTGTTCCTCAAAGTGTTCTTTCCAGCGTTCAAGGCGTCTATCCTGAGAGCTAATTAAGGAGCCATTTTTCTCAGAAATAGTCTCACTTATGAATTGCCTTTTCCCGCCCGATTCTGTGATGAGTCTAAAGAGTTGCCTAGTGTTGCCTATCGCCAATGCTTTTTCCATCTCTTTCGCCTTTGTCACCCACCACTGTTCACGGTCCTTGCGGAGACTTTTAGTAAGTTTCCTTTTGTGCAGCTTTCGCTCCTCATTGAATTCGGAGCTCGCCGGAATAAGTCTTCTAGCATCTATCAGTTCGGATGAGGCAGTCGAAATCCAGTGGTTTTTACTCACCTTTGGATTTGTCTTATTCACAGCTTTTACAGCTGTATCTATAGCTGACTGAATATTCTTCCAGGCTTCTCCAGGGTGAGCACAGCTGTCGGATTCAGATATGCGTTTAGCTAGTTCTTCCTCAAATAGGGATTTAGTTTCCTGATCGAGCTGGGGGCGTAATGGTTTTACCGCCAGCTGTTTCCTACGTCCGTTCAGTCGTAAGCACACACGAGCCCGGACCAGTGCATGATCGGTATCTACACACGTGTTCCAGAAGGAGCGACAATCTCCTACCGACCCACGCCAACGATAGCTTATTGCTATGTGGTCTATTTGTGTCCAGCGTTGGTTTGATGATGGGGGTCGCCAGGTTAAACAGTGTCTCTCCTTGTGTTTAAAGTTAGTGCTTACAAGAAACAAATGATTATCTGAACAGAACTGTAGGAGACGGTCACCGTTGTCGGTTCGCTGGCACGGAACTCCATAGGTGCCACCGACATCCTTCTCAGATTGACACAATTTCCCTACTTGAGCGTTGAAGTCACCAGCTAGAACGACTATATCTGAGCGTTTAGCCTTTCTCACCAAACTAGACAGCTTTTGGTAGAACTCATCCTTCGTTTCATCCGAACTGCAGTCAGTGGGGGCGTAGGCGGAGATTACGAAAAGGCATCGGCGAGTAGTGCAGTCCTTTCTCCTTCTTACTGATCCGTTCAGACGGACAGCACACATTCGGCTATCTACTGGGATCCAGTCAAGCAATGTCTTTTCTGCCCTAGTACTCAGAGCTATCCCTACGCCAGCTAATCCCCGTGAACTAGCTGTGGCATCTCCTGACACCCTCAAGGTGAATTTTGAAGATTCATCCTGTTGGCCAGGTGGGGTTAGGTGAATAACCACACTTGGGTCTTGTATGCGTGTTTCTGAAACACAACATACATCAATGGCTCGAGATGCCAGGGTCTTAGCTAGTGATGCTTGTTGTCCTATTTGGCAAAGTGTCCTTACATTAAATGCTCCTATATGAAATTGGTGGCGTGGCTTTAGGAGACTATCCGTGGTGGTTTTTTGGCTTTCGTCGTTTTTAGTGGACACAGAGTGAAGAGGGAGTGAGGAGCCATCAAGTAGAGGAGTTGCATCACTGGGGGGAAGGTAAGGTAATAGAGATGAAGATGAAGACAAAGATAAGTGAGGATTAGAGAGGTTTTGTGTGCGTTTTGGATTTGTGACCGGAACACCTTGGATTCTATTTCCGGTGGGGTCACGGATGCATACTGATGAAGAGTCTCACACAAGGATGGGACGGCTGTTCAGTACTCTCTGGCTTTTAATGTTTCTCTAACTGATATCAATCTGTACAGCAATATCATCCGTCTGAGCTACAACAAGTCATTTTCATCATTTCTATAAAGATAAGTTCTATAGTGGAAGAGTCATGTATATTCGAGAAGCATGTAAAATACAAATCATCCACATTATATGAATGTACTCACTTTGGTGAATCTTTATATTTGGTGAATACACTGAAACGTTTTTTATTCAACTTCCCGTGCAACTTTTCTAGCCGTTTAGATTGTTTTGATGGAAGTAAACCCTTGAGAATGGAATAGAAATAATCTACACAGTAACAAGTAGCCAGAAATATTAAAATTTTCTCCATTCTGTGTGCTAAAATAAATCGTAGAATAAGTGACATCTTCTCATCTGGTTCAACAATCTAGAAAAAAAAGAGAAAATGGGACGTGTCATCAAAATAGTTATTGTAATATAGTTTTCAAGTTATTATGTGTAGAATAATTTACTCAGATCTGATCTACACCTTTGTGTAGGTGTTATGTACTGGTCGAGTAATTGATAGTTCTGACGCAAGAAGGCGGAAATCAGAAAACCACCAGGTTCACGATGATACTTGTATTTTCCGAAAAAGGAAAATCAATGTCACACAAGTGTATGAGCGAATGTTCAAAAATGAACGAATCAATAGACAGTCTTAACATGATTGGTTGTAATGTCATGTGACAACAAGGTCAGACAAGTTTGTTTAGTTAGTGGACAGACAAAAACATATTGTCAATTATAATGGAATATCGATCCATATATATACATAGCTAAATATAACAGACTGTCAAAAACAAACACACATATTATGTGGATACATATCAGTAGGGAATAAAGAAGTCTTCTGTGATCACACAACTACGATAGGCAAGGTAGTCTTTTGAAGTCAGATACCTGCAATTCTATCCTACATCTAAGATACCTGTCATTATCAGACTGATCTTCATGAGCTAATATCAATTGCAGAAAGTAACAAACACCACGGAGCACTGAACAATCCTTTTATCACAGCAATCTGCATCCCTTTTATGTAAAGGGGCTTCGTTTCACACCGCTGAGTGACAGGGAATAGACTAAATACGAGAACCCACGTCCCTCAATACAGCAGAGAATTCGAGTTTTGTTATCTTACAGGAATTACTTACCGAATAATAGTTTTGTAGTGCAGATGGTGTTCGTTGCTGTTGTTGTTGTGGTTGTAATTTCTGTTGCTGAGATCCATCACTAACAGAGCTGACATCTTTCATTGTTTGTTGACTTACGGTCACGCGAACTGGATTACGTAGTCCTAAAATATGAATTCAAATATATAGACGGAATTAAACAAATTTCAAATATCTCACACACAAATTCACTTTGTCGCATGGACTATTTGACTATACATGTATATTTTGATGATTAACATAAAATTTGAGTAATTCTGCTGAAGTTCCGGTTTACACAGCGAAACATACAGAAAAAACCTTGTTGTAATTTTCTAAATACCCTGGGAGTACTTTCAATAATTGATTTTTGAAAACAAAGGAGTAATGCAGAGTTTATCCATCCTTGTTTGCGAATTTTCGCGATTGACAATCCATAAGGAGTCGGATCCAGGACCTCTAGGTTATCATCAGCAGAGCATGGTGACGAGAAGTTCTGTGGTTTTCAATAATTCCCTAACTGATGTGCTGACTTCGGACGAAATCCGCACTGGAAGTAATTATGATTCCCCGCAAACCTCAGAAATTAGAAAAGTCAGTTAAGAGGAAGGTTACTCGCATATGACATTGCCTGGTGGTTGCCCAATACATATCACGAATTGACAGAAGTTGGAATTCACGGGCACTTGGATAGTGTTCCAGTGGCCGAATGGTCCACGAGCTCACCTTGTAAACGAAAGGTTCTACGTCCAAATCCCAGTGGATGGGTACTGCCAAAGCATTCCAAACTAGGACACCATAGCTGTCCAGTACTCCCTGTTTTCCAATGGTTATCTAACTGATGTTACCTACTGATTAAACCTGTCACTAATCAAACCCTTGCAAACCAACATTGATAAAATGAAATTTATCATCATACAAACAGAAAAGGTACTTACCAGCTCTCAGTAGGTCTTCGATTCGAGTTGTTTGTGTAGCCGAGAATAATCCTGTTCTTCGTTGTTTTGGTAAAAACGACAAAATCGTATTTATTCTGTAAATATATAATGAGTAGATTTTAGAGAAAGGCGAACAGAAAACTAAGCAAAATAAACATAATTTTACTAAGATCACTAAAAATGAGATGGATAAAAAATGATAATCAAGGTAACGGAAAGGCTGATAAAAATGAATTGTAGAGGTAGAAAAAGGAAAATAATTCAACATGAAAAACGTGACGGTTTTAATGGGCGTGAGGTTTCTCGGAGAGTGCTTTTGTGAACGATTTCGAGTCACCAATAGTCTCTAACCATTGGTTTTTAGCATCCAGTCTATACTTCCCTATGTAACTCAAACTGTCAGAGATTTCAAGGACTGATGATAAGTTTTGATTTGACCATCCCTAACTCTTTTCTAACCCAACCTTATGTTAGCTAAGATTGCCCATCGACTAAGACAATGGTTGGGGATGCGCAACACGTCTCCTAGCCATCTCAGTCGATGTAGCTTCACAGTCTTATCGATTGGATCCCCTTCCGTACCTGGGAGTCTACGACTAATCTTAATTTAGCTCACAATATTACACCACATAACACGGGAAACCGAACGCAAATACCTGTGGTCAAAGAAAGCCAGCTGCTCCACATCTATTTTCAATGGTCACATCTTACAGCCACAAGCAAGGGCGGAGTAACCCTACTGTGCAATACACACGTCCTTTGATCGATTTCCCAAAATCACGTTTACACCAAAGATGGCTCAAGTTGTCAAATGCTAAATAAGCCTTTGTATCAGTACCAAGATTTCGTCAACAGTCACTCCACTAGAGATGATGTAACCTCACAAATAAGTGAACAACACTACCAATTCGCCATCTTAAGGCTAGTAGTCGCTGTAATCTAGCCCTGCCACAATATCTCACATAAATGTGATTCAACGATTAATTAGATCCAACATAATTGTGCAGATGATTTACGGGTCACCCACTAAAAGCCACTGAAACTTGTGAAATGCAACTCAATAATGATATAAAAGTATATTTAAGGTCTTTGCCCACTACACTCCCTTAACCAGTCACGACTGCGTAAATGAAGTATAATTTAAACCAATAAGAGAAACAGCTGAAGGTCGGATACCTGAAGATCAGCTGACTGAGACTTCATATTTTAGGGATGTTATGTAGATAATTGCGGCGTGACTAACATATTACAGCACACTTTTATCAACAGATGCCTTCACTTCAGAAAAGACTAACAAACAGGAATACTGGCAACGAACTTATTGTATAACAAATGCAAAATGAAATGGAGGTGGATTGGGCACATGCTGACGAGACCGTCGGGTGACGCCACACGCCAGTCAGACCCTCGAGTGAAACCCGAATGGGGGAAGGCGAGTTAAACGTCCGAGAGTGACATGAAGGACATCATGAAAACTTACAGACAATCGTGAAGCCAGCTAAAAAGGGTTGCGGAGAACAGGAGGAAATGGAAATGTGCTTCTGAAGCTTACGTTCCAAGAGGAACCCAAGTGAAATAGAGAACTAAGAAGGACTAATGTATACAAACAAAGAAATAAACATCGGTGGTCAATATATAATCCACTATTCTTACTGTGATTCGAATCCCATTTCTAAAAGACGATCAGCTTCATCCAGTATCAAAATTTCCTATATTTGTTAAACAATGTACAAGGAAAACATATGGGATAATCAAGGGAGACAGATAGCAAACAAAAAGGCTCGTATAAATGAATTTTATAAGATTTGCGCATCCAAATATGGGTAACTTAATTATACCAATATATTTAAACATTAAGTAATAATGTGTCACATTAATTGTATAATAGCTACTGCTGCTATCTAATGACTTATACACTACGTAGGTGGAGGCGCTGTTGATAAATCGAGGCCTACTAATCCAGTAAGTCACACCTCTGCGTATAATCACACAAATCAACTGGTCGGGTTTCTGGCTAGAACTAAAATCCGCCCACCAAAGGCGGGCACCTCAATGACGTATTAACACAAGTTATAGCAATATGATATGACCTATTGGTTAGTGTTGAACTGCGCACGGCTGTTGAACAACTTATTCCATCAAACACACTTCCAGTACTGTCATTTGCCTGATGGTGGCCGGCAGTGGAATTCAGAATGTCGATCGTATCCTACTTGAAACTTCTCAGCTGGAAATTACGAAAGATCAATATAAACAACTGATACGCTTTGCACAAGAAAGACCTCATAAGGTTCGACATGTCAGCCGATTAGAGCACCTTACGAACACCTTATAGAGACAGTAGCTGCAAATAACATCAAAACAAAATAACATACAATACTACGAAGTCCACGAATTATAGGATTCATCATATTTCCCAGCCCAAAATCAACAACTTGACCAGCTAAGATTAAATCAGTTAAACGACCAGGAGTAGCGACAAGAATAGTGGAACCTTTTTCTTTGAAAGCAGCAAAATCTTGAAATTTTGTAGTTGGACCAGTGGAACGTCCACCACCAGTGAAAACGAGTGAAGAAAAATTACAATTACCACTGCAAAACAAAGTGAAATCGGGAAAAATTTATGATGAAAAAAAACATCAAAATAGTTAAAACCGGTTTTAAAGTTCACATAGACTTTTAGAGTTTAAAATATGATACGACACTTAAATTCAGTAAACATGAATCAGAGCCTTTCATAAGAATCGGTGAACTGTGTAAGTGAAGTTACTTTTAAGATGGTGAACACCTCTTTCAGACAGAAAAAATAGAACGCAAAAAACCACTGCCTATACCTACAAATTGCCTTGTTTCACATTATCACATCGAGCTTAATGTTAACACTTTTATTTCTTAATAGCAAATTTAGCTTCTCAAATCCTCCATGTAATATTTCACTCTTTTTTCATTCTTATTTTAGTTAATACAACCCTTGATGTGTTGTTTAGAAACACGAAAACTCACCAGTAAGACTTCAATTATTTGAATCATCACAGTAAGCATGAACTGGAGTTGTAGTTGATTTAAGCTCTTAAATCCAATTCAGATGTAATGGGTTTAAATTTACCTACACCTGCGAAATGTGAAAGTTATTATAGAATATCTGGAGTCCATATCCTAGTATATGAAGAAGTACATATTTGCTCAGCTCTTTTATTTCAACCTGGGGAAACCCTATCATCCATCATCAGACCTAAGTTACAGTAGTAACCTAACTCCGTTACCTAATAGATAACGCAATAGCATTTGAAAAGATGGAAACTCGGTTGGATTCTCGATAGGAACACCGTCACTGACTGAAATGCACGTATATTTAGCTGCCAAGCCGTAAATAAGATGGAACGCGAATTTTGGAATCCACTGCTAGTCACAGCTGACCAAATGACATCAATTTCACTTCAAAGCATAGTCAAAGCATCCGTATGAGGGGCCGATATTTTAAGAGAGGCAGAACACTTTGGTCCAGTAAAATCAATCAGTGGGAAATCCATAACAGTTTTAAGAAACAATCGCCCTACCATTTATTTTCTTAAACACTTAATTCACTTTAAGTGAGAATCAGTAATAAATTATGAAGTTAAGCAACACAACAAAAACTATTTAAGTGTCGGTCTGCAGGGATTTCACTGGTTACAGGACTTCATCATGAGTTGAAATTTGTTAGAAAACCATTGGAAAACTTGGGAGTAATGGACAGCTGTTTTGTCCTAGCCCCTTGGGACTCTTCAGAAGTATGTACCCACTGGGGTTCGAACCCAGGACCCTCCGGTTACAAGGCGGGCTAGCTCGTAAACCGTTAAGTCAATGGGACTCGATCCAGTCTAATCGAAAGCGGTCAGACCATATGGAGTCGTGACGAGAGTAAAGTCACGGCTGCCTTTAGATTCTAGGATAAAAAATCTTAATCAGAATGGAAACAACACGCTTGACTGCATATCAATAAATTAATAGTAAGATCGATGGTGCTTCCTTCACCACTTACTTTGTTTTCATATTGACGAATTTAATGAAATGTAAGACAACGTCATGTATTTGTACTGCTAGTTCATAAGTTGGAGACAGAATCAAAGCCCCGATCTATTAAGTATTAATCACTTTACGAAGCATATTTTCTTTACTTCATATATTTGCCAGGGACGATTTCTTCTTAAAAGGATCTCCAAAATGGGTACAACGAAAGCCAAAGTCTTTCCAGACCCCGTGACAGCTTCAGCTGCTACATCCTTCGAAGATAGCAGCAGAGGAATAACAGATTGCTGACAATATTACGACTTTATATAATTACCTGAACTGGCATGCATTCTTTAAAGCCAAGTGAGGAGATTGCGTCCAAGGTGCTTTCAGACAATTTGACTGGTAAAGAATGCCAGCGCGAGTTCATTGAAAATAAACAGGTAATGTCAAACACTGATACAAGTAACTCCAAGTGAGATTCGTGGACAAATATCTAAAAACATTAATATACATAGTGTATCAGAAAATGCGATCCATTTTATTTCTTAGAACAACAACTTGAGTCTTTCTCACAAAACATGAGTCGGATGTTTTAGCTATTAAAGTGTCAAGACACGTCAGTGCTATGGCATACTATGTGTTGGGAGTATAACTGGAAAAACTAACAAATCAAGCTATGATCATAAGTAGTAGATAAGACAATCGTCTTATTAACAGGAACTCTTTCAACATTAGGACTAGCTGGTATGCAGAAGCTTAGTATTACTTCCAAGACTTAAGTTTGGCGACTCCTAAGAGCAACCAAAATAAGATTACTGCACATCAATCGAGTATTAATTGAAAAACATTAAATGCTGTAAGAAAAAACTAATGTTGTTTACCTTCACAATTTCCAACATTTCACACAACGGAAAAATAGCCATTGATAGAAAAATGGCATAAAACCAGAACACATGGTCATGAAACTGTAATAACAACTTGGGTTCCTCTGTAGTTTGGTGCTTATAACATAACAGCAAATTTAATGAAATTACATGCGGAAATTCTCTTTATCAGTCAAGAGACTTAGTTACGTTCTAGCCGGTGACTCACAGTTGTGACTGCGCCCCACTTACCTCAGTCCAGGAGACTGAGAAGTACCATCACACCCCACATGACAATTATGACTAATAGCCTGATATACGAAAAATCTATTCCCCGTAAATGAGTTGTTTCTCCAACTAGCGAGACAAGGGCTTCATAAAATCTGTAGTAAAATGACGTGCGTACTGTAAGATCTACTACATTATCATAACCAATGCAACTGGCAGGCTTTAGACCAGGAAGAGGGTATATTGATCATATCTTCACCCTCCGACAGATTCTAGAACATAGGGATTCCTACCGGCGCCCAACAATCATTATATTTCTTGACCTAAAGGCGGGATTCGATTCTGCCGAGCGAGAGGTTCTCTCGCGATGCCTGGCTGTAAAGGGAATCCCGAAAAAATACATTGCAATGATTAAGACACTCAACTCGAACTCATGCAGCTAGGTTACGCCTTACAGCGAGTTGTCATCTGAAATGGTGACGACTAGTGGTGTCCGTCAAGGATGCCCATTATCCCCTTTTCTATTCAACTTCATCATAGATGTACTAATGGACTTAACCCTAAGGGACTTCAGCGACTCAGGGAATGACTTGTTGCCAGGGTATAATCTCGTTGACTTAGAAGAGATGCAGATGATATAATCCTTTTAAGTTAAGACGCTGACAAAATGCAGAGTCTTCTGAACACCTAGAGCTGCAATCTGCGAATGTTTGGCATGCGATTCGCTCCCGTCAAATGTAAGATGATGCTGCAGGACTGGAATAGACTGCCTCTTAGTTTAGAAATAGGGATTGAGGTGGTAAAGCACGTTCACCGCTTCACTTATTTGGGAAGTACCATCAACCCCAATGGGTTGATCTCTGACGAAATCTCAGCACGGATACAGAGGGCTAGATTCGCGTATGCCACTTTACGCCGTCTCTGGCGTAGACGTGATATCCGACTATCGACCAAAGGGCGGGTGTACTGTTTAGCAGTCCTGTGCTCTATCTCCCGTATGAAGTGGTATAATAAGGTGAGCAATATTGAGATTAGGCGTCGAATACTAGGTAAGGAGGAGAAATCAATCGATGAGGCTGTGAAATTACATCGACTGAGATGGTTAGGACATGTGTTACGTATGCCTAGTCATCGCCTTCCTCGACGGGCAATGTTAGCTGATATAGGGTCAGGCTGGAAAAGAGCTAGCGGCGGTCAGACCAAAACATGGCACCAGTCAATGATATCCACAACAGTTAGTCTAAGCCACGTAGGGAGGTGTAGACTTCCTGGTTGGGGTCCTCGGGACGGTAAAAACCAATGGCTGGAAACTATTGGTGATATGGCTCAAAATCGTTCTCAATGGCGCAGATGCATCCACTCCTTGTGACGTATGATTTCCAGTGAAACTATATTGTTCTTCGTTATTACTATTCCTTTGTCTCACACCTCTGTTTACTGTCTCTAATATGCATTTCTTCTACTTTCTCCTCCTGCTTTGTATGCTAGATTGAGTGTGGCGATTTGAACTGCCGCACATTTGTGCAAACTTGTATGTCGAAAACAGACAGACAGGCAGACTGGTCGAAAAGTTGTGAACCTTTATGGTGCTCTTTTATTTCGCCTGCACCTCTTAAGCTGAAATCGAAATGGGATTCAAATTTGTTTATATAGGTAGAACATTACTAGGTGCACACGTAACAACTACATTTCATTCACTCCGCTCCTGTTCATATACGAGAGGCCAAGTTTAAGGCATTCAGTATACTTCGTACAAAAGTTACTAAACGTGTTTCATACAATCTTAAGCTGCAACTCACTAGATATCGACAGATCTTCTTGGATTGTGTCAGTGAAAGTTGTAAGAAATGAAGTGTACAGCAACGTGCACTTTATTCAAAACACAATGAACTCAAGAGATTAGTTTGTATGATGTCACTTTTAGAAAGTCATTTTGCCTAAAAAAAACAAAGGATCGGCGAAATCACAATGTATGAATATTTAAAATAGTCGTAAAATTAAAGTTGCCTTGGCAAACTTCGAGTTACCTACAGGGGAAGAACCTGAGGTATTTTGAGGATCACGTCGAGTATCCATAAGTCCGACATTTTTTGCCTGAGCCTGAACAATAGATAATCCAAATATTCGGTGACAATTTAAGTAGTTTGAGGCCAACTTAATGCCAGAAATTACAGAACTTTATCTTGTCCGACTCTGAGCATCCTGCTTACATAAGGATCCTGTTACATCTCATCAGGTATGACCAGAGGCAATTACAAAAGGCAGTGATCAGATGACTAAGTATAAAAACTCTACGATATTTTATTTGGCACATATTTTATGTGAGGACAAGTGTTTAGGGCATGAAACTATTAACTTACTGAGAAACACCACGTACACAGCCCCTCTTATTCTTCTTTTCATCAATATACTGTTGTTCATATTTCCGCCTAAATTTCAGCTTCGCATTCATATTCTTATTGACATTATTATCAACGGAGTACAGCAGGGGGACTATACTAGACACCCTGTTATTCCCACTACACATACACAAACCACCAAAATTTTTTCCTTCATCCTTATTATTATTTGCGGATGATATTAAGTGGGAAAACTGCAAATAATAATGATGGTAGACCACTCTAATAACGTGATCCAGATATATCGACTGAATGGTCTAAACTTTGCAGTTTAGAAGTTAATTTCAAAAAAAGTACGGTAATGCATTTAGGGAACAGGGGACACAAAAGTGCCGAATGTTAAGGGAAAAAAAGACAGTCAGACACGATTTGAAAACAAATCCAAACGGCAACGCAGCTGCACCTACGGATTTTGGAATGCTATGGGCACTTTAACGGGCTTTGAAACACGTAGCTCAGTCTATGTTCAAATTAATCTGTACAACATATGTCAGGCCTCATCTGCACTACTGTATACAAGCGACTACTCAATGTTTTAGGAAAGAGTACAAAGGAAACGCAAATTAAACTGCGGAGGAATAAAAGACAAGCGGAATTTAGATTCTCACATAGTAGTCAGCGACTGGAACTCCTTATCCAACCAAGCAGTATCAGCTCAGTCTGTGAATGCTTTTAAAGAGGAATTAAGTCTACAGAGATATATATTCCAAGGATTAACAAAGGACACAAGAGCCTACAATCCTAAAGGGAATGTCTGAATCTGCACCTAAATCCTAGTTGTTCCCTCCTTATAGCTTCGTTTAAAGAGACACATGCAACATAGCATCAGATCCTGAAAATTCGGATTTCCTCAAGAGTATTATTTAGGATACAGCCACTACTATTATCAACTCTGGGAAATCGAAATATTAGTAATTTCCCAAATCACCAAAATTTCGATAAGTGTCTCACGGTTAAAAGATTTCCCAAAATGTCGTAAAACTAGTACTAAATGCCCATGAATACCCTAAATATACCTGCTGTATGGATAAAAAAGAAGCACTTGAGCTTTAATGTAGTTATAACTACACAAAGATAACACAAAGTACACCCACGTGTGATGGTGAAATTAATCAATGAGTTAGGTAGCTCAAAGAGAGCAGTGACACTAATTCGGCAACCCAAAGAAGAAAAGAAACGAGTGGCCCCTTAAAATGCGGCAACCCTTGCAGGTAGCGCAGTCATTTGGTATTTCCGCCAAATTACAGATTCAGATTAAGATTATAAGGATAGAAGGCTCTTGTTGCCTATGTTAATCCTCGCGATATGTATCTCTGCAGAGATCCAGTTTCTCTTTGAAAGCGTTCGCCGATGGAGCTGTTACTAGTGAATCAGGTAAGGAGTTCCAGTCGTTGACTACTCCGTGAGAGAATCTAAACTCCAACCGTATCTTATTCGACCTCGGTTTGAACACCTTCTTGTGGTGACCCTGTAAATGTATCCCAGAGGGAGAGAAAACATTTGAAAGGTTAATCCCCAAATCACCCTTGAATGTACGGTAAGCCAAAATTAAGTTGCCTCTCCTCCTTCGGTATGATAATAGGAAGAGATTTAAATGCTCCATCCTCATGTCATAAGGAAGGTGTGAAATACCATTATTAATTAGGTTCCTACCCTATGTAGTCTTTCCAGGGTATGTGCCTCCCTTTTGGAACATGGACTCGCCGCTTGTATGCAGTACTCTAGATGAGGCTTGACATATGTTGCATAGAGTACTTGGAACATACCCTCATCTAATCGTTTGAAAGCCCTTCGAAGTGCCCATAGCATTCGAAAAGCCTTAGCTGCGCCTCGATTACAGTTTGCCGTCGTTTTTAAGTCATGGCTAAGAAAAATTCCCAAGTCCTTTTGTTCCCTGACATCTCTCAGTTTGGTGTCCCCCGTGGAGTACGACGTGTAAGACTTCTGACCTAGGTGCATTACCGCGCTTTTCTTGGAGTTGATTTCCTGACTCCAAAGGTTAGTCCATTCGGCTAACTTGTCTAGATCGTTTTGTAGTACCAACCTATCGTCGCTACTATTTAACGGTTTTCCATATCTTAATATCGTCCGCAAATAGTAGGGAGGATGAGGTAAGAATTTTCGGCCCTTCATTTCCACTCAAAAGCGGAGTGCGTCGACCGGGAACTCCGCTATCAGACCTGGACCTTTGCCAGCTCATTCTCTTACCTGTAAAAGAAGTGAAGTCTTCCCTTGAAGAAATTACACTTTGTGGTAGAAAATTAAAAATGGGAAGTAGACTTTCAGACTTAGGACATCAGTCCACGGTTCTTTGGTGTTAAAATTACTTCCTCCCAAGTGACAGTCTCCTGAGATATTAAGCAATAATGATAGTTGGGCACCGATTTAAGCGCGTAAGATACAGGGTTCTAGTGTGAGATTATAGTCCGATGTCTTTTAATAGCTGTTATTCCGATGTGATATACGGAAATTATCTAGTCATTTTGGTCTTCAAATATCGGAATTTTTGAATGAATCCTCTTCACATTTCAGATTTCGGCTTTCCACCTGCACTTCGTGTTCTGAATCAGATCGAGTGAGATGTATTTATAATAATAATGATTTACTTTATTCCAAAAACAGTACTTGTGATACAGAATGGAATTTTCAGCATTAATCACAATATTGCATCTAATTTCTTCAAATTAAAAATAAAAACTAATCACACAGAAAACTTTCCACATTTACAATAGAGGTAGTGTCAAAAATATGCAGCATATAAAATGGAAATAAGAATAATAATGATAACAGCTAGGGTAATAATAATAAGAATACAAGTGAAAATTGCCGTTGGCTTGTGTCACACAGTATTGGCGATGTGGTATAGAAATCCTAACATGTTTAAAAATATTGAGTATAACGTTCTCTTTACATGATATGGTGAGGGGAAAAACAAAGATTACAGCCGTCATGGAGATAAGTTGGTGTTTGCAATTCTGAGAGTAAAAAAAAACAGAGAAGTAACAGGACCATAAATATAATAGAAATAATAAAAGTAAAACTTGAAGGTATATAAGGATGGATGGAGGAAATGTTTTATTTACCAGATGAAAAAGGTTAGTTAATTCTTGCCTGACACTATTTTCATCACATAAAATGCGTGCCAAGTATGGTATCATAGAATTCTTATACTTAGACGTGCGAGCATACAGTTTTCTGAAGTTAATTCTTGTTCTACCTGAGGAGATGCAAGGTGAAAGCTGAGGGTGCTGTGGTGGATGCTTCAAGTCAGACAAAATCCCTCTAGCAAATTTATTGCACGAAGTCAAGTGCCTATCGACAACGACGTTAACTATGTGGTCCACTGGGACACCACCCACCCTACTGACAGTCTTCAGTATTCTACGAATTGTGACATAGTCTTTTTTAAGCAAACCAGGAAAGAATAAGGGTGAAAAATAAAGAAGAATAGGTAGGATGCAAGAGTTGACAAACTATAAGATGAGGGGTTGAGTTATACCTGAGTGTCTCAACTTCTTAATGTAAAATGTCAGGCGGAATATTTTACTGGAGATTGCTAAGACACGGGAAGACCAAGAGAGATCAGAAGAGAGAATGAGTCCAAGATACCTAATTTCTGATTTGATTCCTATATCATTGTCGTCAATTTTACAACTGTCATGAGAATCGATGACTTCTTTTAACTGTCGTTTACATCTTAAGCTGCAATCAACAGTTTGACACTTAGAAGGATTCAGTTTAAGACCGTTAGACTCAGACCATTTGCTGACTGCCGATAGAAAGCTATTTATTTTGATACAATCTAGCTGGGAGTTAACAGCCATTGAAACCGTTAAATCATCAGCGTACTTCACAAAGTTTATTTCATCAGAGTGAGGCAAGTCATTCAAGAAGAAAGAAAAAAGAAAAAGAGAAAGGACAGTGTCTTGATGGACACCAGCTTCAGTAGGCAATGAAGTGGAAGACTTCTCTTTATACACGATGTACTGCTTTCTTTCTGAGAAATAAGAATGTAACCAGTTATCACATTGTTATTGTTTCCTTTAGTTCCTAGAGGGATATAGGGTTTCACCTGCACGTCTCCATTTCGTTCGGTTCTCCACCAACGTTTACACCTGGCTCCACACGCGCCTTCATGCTTTTATCTCCTCTTCGTACGATGCCTCCCATGGCAATCTCACGTTGGTCACCAGCTTGTACTTCCAATTAGGGTTCCGCTTGAGTAATGGCCTGGTGTGTGATGTAACCTCATGGTTTCCTCAGAGTATAGCCAACCTATCTCCATTTCTTCTTGCCTATTTGTTGCACCATCGGTTCCTGGTTGGTTCGCTCGTTGCCAGTGATCCCTCACATTTGGCCGATCTTTTCTGGCCATCTGATCTTGAGCGAATTATTGAACGAAGACAGCTGTTGACGAGGGTCTGTGGTTTGTTCGAAATGCCCCTTATGACGCACCAAGTCTCTGATCCGTATAGTAAATAGCACCGACTTCACATCAGAGTTGAAAATGATGATGATGAAATTAATCAATAAGTTAATTCGCTCAAAAACAGCAGTGACACTAGTTCGGCAACCCAAAGAGGAAAAAACTAGAATAAATTAGAGGGAGCGCAACGGCAGTTTACCTCAAGAACTCTTGGTTTAAAAGGTGGTCTGGAATACTATGAGTGATGCGATAGACTAAGACTATAACCACTCTCAAAAAGACGTCTTAAGCTAAACCTTATCTTTTACCACAAGCTAACTAATCTTCTCTAGCACTCCTCCGAGTCAATAAATAAACCTATCTCTGTCATCAGTTACAATCTTAGAAATCATCACAACCTAGCTGCTATAGAGCACTGTCAGACTTACGTGTGGTACAACTTCTTCTTAAATAAGTTTTCAGTCATTTGAAATAGACTACCAGCTAATGTGCGTGATGCAAACACACTCCCAGTGTTCATATCCTCAGTCACCAGACTGCTCAAAGATTTTTTATTTTATTTTTATTTTTGATTACGGCTTGATTCCACACTGTATTTTTGGTACAAGTATGGAATTTTCAGCGTGGATATCGGTAGCCCTAATATCGCAGGCCAACCATAGATATCAGTTGTGCGTCGGCGTGAGCTCGAACCCCGGACCATGTGCACGGTCGGCGAGAGTCCTAACCACTGTGCCACCGACGCACAGATGACAATGAACTTCTACTTACACCCTCTTTTTCACCCTACATAGATATTTTAAGTTCATTAAGCGTGTAGTTACAACAAACTACAATTATAAATTTTAATATTATTGGAACTAGATGATAAACATTTCTACACAGGACAGTGATATTAGTTCACACATAATATAAAAGTTAGCAAAACGAGACTAGTTAGTTTGTGTACCGAAATAACCATAGTTACTAAACGGAGTATGTATATATTTATGTATATGTATATACTTATTAATCACTCCTTAAGGACTACTCTTGCTTTCTTTTGAGTTGCTGTTATTTGTCTTCTTTTTTCTCTCACCATTTTAGCTTCCATTTGACTTTTTGAATGAGAATGAAGAATGTGGATATCCGACGATTTACAATGACAAATGATCTGCAAACATTAGTGGTCCCATATCTGACAATTCCCTCGTGAATTACGCTTTATGTTCCCCCACGATGAAACATCGAATATAGTTGTCGAATATATTCATATGCCTATGAAAAAGTATTAATTTAAAATACATGTCAGCCAAGTCTCATATATCGTTAATACCCAGCTCTTGCTACGCTCGGGCTCACGCTGTTCCTTGAAGTCTCCCAGAAACGCTTAGTAATAACGGACGAAAAAACCAAAACACCAATTGGCGACTCGAGGATTCTTTATTGTTACACCAACATATAAATCACGTATGACTAAGGTCTGTGAACAAATATTACAACAATAAATCACAATATTACTTCTGACGGTTTACTGCTGACTTCTTTCTGAACAGCGACCGATGAGACGATGACTGTCGTATCGATGCCTCCGCGAAAATTGGGGAAGTTGATTTTGAGCAAACAACCATGAATTGGTCGTTCAAGCTTCAACTCCATTGACACTCCCCGGCAAAAATCGGATCCATCCCTTTTTTCCTTCACGACCAATACACGTTGACTTGGATGCAATTGCGAGAACCTGGGCCACACGGACAGAGGTGAAATGGAAAACAAACAGAAAAGCCAACACACCACAAGCATACTCACAGCACAATCTCACACATCAATGA